CCCAGGCGCACTGGTATGTTGTAGGCCAACTAACTTAGCAACGATCTGATCAATCAAGGACTCTTGGTTCTTTGTGATTGTTTCTAGGGTATTTCGACTATTTTGGTTTATCTTATCTTCTAGCTCTTTCTGTAGTTTCAACATATTCTCCTCGATTTGTGTAATTCTGGCTTCCATCCTCTTCTTCTTCAAACGAGTGTTATGCGGATGGGGTGTGTCCAATGTTTGAGGCGGTATATCCAGTATTTGCTCCCTCTGATGAGACATGTTTATGTTAGTTAATGTGAATGCAAAGAAAATAACAAAATGCAAAGAAAATAAAAAATGCAAAATGTCTAAATATATGATGCATGAAATGTCCGAGGCATTGATCCAAAAAATGTGATTGTTATTCTGAACAACCCTTATTGGTGATAAAAGTGTTACGTCTGAAGAGACAAAAACTTTTTTAATGGTACAAATCCTGCACAGCTTCTGACAAGTTGATTCGTCTTTTTCATTGGTTGAATATCCTGTCGAACCATTCCGGCTCCTTTGGCTAAACTTGTGCAGGTGATGGGCTGCTTGCCTCAAAAGGGGTCTCGAAGGGTTGCATCTCCGGCTTTCACTCTATGTCGAGCTTGATCCAAACGAAAGTGCCATTGGAGCCCTCTATCCGAAGTTTATCGACTTGTTTCTAGAATTCGTCAATAATGGTCTGCAGCTTAGCTGGGGTTCCGCCACTTGTTATCGTAGTTTTCAAAAGGAGCATCTGGGTCAGCAATATTTTCCTTGTCTTGCCCCTGCAACCTTTGCCTCTGAGTATTCTTTGACCACGGCTGGACTTCTGAGCTTTTTATCTCTTTGTATTATAACCCTTTTGTCCATTAATACAAATTATTCATGTTTAACAAACACATTTTTGGTGGATCAACACATCGTTTTAAATGATGCAAACGATGAACACAAATAAAAGAGAACAAAATAAAAGGGTTAGTGAGGTAAATCAAAATAATAAAAAAAAGGAAAAATCATGCCCCACATGATATCTACTCCGCATGCTTTAAAACAAATCCTAACCGTATATTTGTCTAGTTCGCATGCTTTGAACAGAAAATAAAGCAGGAAACAAAGCATCCTAGGGTTTGGAATGAAGTCTTGGGGTGGGCTCTAATTCTCTGCACTCTCCCGGTTTAGGTTCTGAAAAGGTACTCGAGTTCTCCTTGCCGGTGCCCCCTTGGGCTTGTCAGACCCTTAGTCCTAAGCCCATCACTGGCTTGTGTGGACTAAGTTAAACTCGAGAGGACACATTCCCTTATGCCCATACGGAGAATAAATTCACACGAAGGCATAAGGTATATGAATCCCGAAGGCTACTTGCTAGGCCCATACGGTGAATAAATTCACACGAAGGCATCGCTTTCACCCCCACTTAAAACGGGTTTGGAGCTCAGGTATAGAGCTAGAGATGACAATTTTGAAAAATCTGAAATCATTAAAAAGCGTTAGTACAACTATTTATTTGAAAAAAAATAATCAAAGATAAATAATAAGAATCGAACAAATAAATTAAAATTTAAACTTGTAATTTTCGCTAAAAAAGACAACCGGAAATTAATTTCGGCCTGACTCACGTACCCGTCCCCAGCAGAGTCGCCAAGCTGTCGTAATCGTCTTTCGTTTGGGCCCCGGAATTGGGCTTCGACTTAGGAAAAATGATTTGGAGTCGTCACTGATCATTTATTTATTTATTTATTTATTTTTTTAAAAAAATGGGTTGATCGGACACCTTATTTCTTACTTGATCTGCGTTGTACCAGACGCGTGTCGGGTTCGGGAGTCGGTTACGGTCAAGGAAAGAATAGCACCCTTGAACCGCCCTTTCGGTACCAATTAATTTATCGGTTGTCTTAATTGCAAGAATTAAAAAGTTTAAATTTAAATTTAAAAACCCGATTCACATTACTTACCTTTGATTGGTTGGAGTTCTTCTAAAAAAGTCAAAAATGTTAGAAAATATAATAATAGACAAATGTTAGAAAATATAATAATAGACAAATGTTAGATAAATCAAAAAACATAAAAAAAAAGAATAAAATAAAGTATCGACTTAGAGGATCAAATTGAGACAAATTGAAATTAATGGACTAGATTGGTATTAAAATGAACTGCAAAAGAGAAAAGAAAAGTTAGGTGCCAATTCACGAAATATAAAAAATATATGGACTAAATTGATTAAATTGGAAATTCGGAGGTAACTTTACAGGTAGTGACCAAAATGAATTGCGACTCAAAGTATCAGGGACTACGGAAGGGATTTAAGAATCTTGTATTTGCAGGATGGTCCTTGGTATATAATAAGCTAAACACCTCATTTCATTTCATTTTCAAATCCTTTCTACCTCAGCTGAGAGAATGCTCTCAACTCTCCCAGAAAACGGCCAAAATCCGACCACCACTCCGGTGGCCACCCACCGCGTCGGCCGCCACCGCCGACGGCCGGAAAAACCCAAACCTCTCCAAATAACCTCCTCTACCTCCTCAACACTAATCCGTAAATAAAATCCCACAGAATGGCCCCCAAAAACGTAGATCTACGTTTTTAGTTTCGGTTATTACCTCACCAACGATGACTCTTCGGCTCCCGGTGTGTTTGGCTTTGAATGGTTCGTGGTTCACTGTTGTTTTTTGTTGTTTGTGATGTTGGCTTGATGGTTTTTGGTTATTTGATATGAGTTTGTGGTTCAATATGACACATCGGTTTACTGTTTTTCGATGATCTTGTGTGTACCGTCGTTTTTGTGATGGACTCTCGCTGTTCTGTTTCGACTGTGTTTGGTGTTGTTGGTACTGTTTTCTCTCGGGTTCTTTCGATGATCTACTGTTGTTGTTCAGTTTGCTCGGTTTCTGGTGTGTTTGGTTTTCTGGCGGTGTACTGTTGGTTCGTTCTCGGTGATACTTGACGCTCGGGGTTCCCCCTATTGCATGGCCTCACCGGCTTTTATAACCCCCACCGGTTGTTATGAGTCTCGAAAAAAAAGGGGTTGTTGCTGTTGTGGCCGGTCATCCCGGGATGGGTCAGTCCCGAGATTTTCGGCTGGCCGTTTCGCCTCTTGACCGTTCGGTTACCTCTGTGCGGCGCCGTTGCACCCTGTGTTGACCCAAATGATATTTTAGGGTTTTTCAAACCCCAATCCCCAGTTGCGGCGCTGTGACAGACGTTGGAACCCTAATCTGTGCTCTGGGTCGGGTCAGGCCCAACTTGGCTCACTTGGACCCCAAAATGGACCTGGACAATTAAAATGAAAGTAAAATAAAAATAAATAACAACGATAATGATAATGATAATAATATAAAATATTTTCTACAAACTATATAATATATATATTTTCAAAAGTATTTTAAAATTATATATTATATATTTTTCTAAAACGTTTTCAAAATTATATAGTTTTCAAAAATATTTTTTAAAACTATATATTATAAGTTTTCAAAATGATTTCAAAACTATATAATATATATATGTTTTCAAAATATTTCTTTTTAAAAATTATATTTATTTTAAAAATGTTTTTAAAACCATATAATATATATTTTCAAAAACGTTTTAAAAATTATATTTATTTTCAAAGTGTTTTAAAAACTATATAATATATAAATGTTTCAAATATGTTTTCAAAACTATATATTATATACATATATATGTATATATAAAAAAAAAATGAGACGAAAATGGGTGTCTACACTAATCACGGGGTCCCTTTAGGAAATGTTTATTCTTATTTCAGTTTTACAGACTTGTGAAAATTTTATCTTAAGAATTGATAGAAACAAGTCCTTGGTTCCACCACTTGCAGCTCTGAAATTTAAACTATGAGAGTAATCACAATGATCTGCTACCTCATTGTAATGTAGAATATAGTGAAGTTTCTAATGTGCTTAAGTTTCATGTTTATAAACCATTTTGTATGCTATTAGTCTATGATTCTATTGTCTAAAGCTTCATTTCCCCCCTTTCCACAGGCATTTGCACAGCTTTTGCAAGCACCCCAGACAGATGCACAAATTATTATTCTGGAACGCTTCCCTGTCTCTAGATTGGTTGTATGTGATCAACATGGATCCCAGGTCAGTATATTTCAGTAAAGACTTAATTTTAAAAAAAAATAAAATCATTTTCTTTGGATACATAAAAATTGGTCTTGGTTTACCCTTGTGAAACCCATCATTTCTAAATAGATTCTATTATAAAGTATCACTTCAATTTGAATCATTCTTAAATTTTGCAACACAATCTTAAATTAAGGGTTTTAGCGTTCATTACCTTAATCAGTATATGGTAATTGTGAATCGGCTTTCTTTACCAAACATTATAAATTAGCTTAAATTAAGGGGCTTATTTTTTTGTTTCCTTGAGCAGGCAAGATTTTTATTGGCAAAGTTGAACCCATCAGCAACATACAATAACGCCAATGAAATGGCTGCTGGATCAGATGTTATCTTTACGGATGATGTAAGCTTACAAATCTTCTTCGAGCATCTCCAGAAATTGGCTGTACAATCTTAATCTTAGAAAATAGTTGCAAGACTAGCTGTTTCCGGATTGGTATGAAAAATCATTCGATGTGAGTTCTGTATCCTGATCCACTCTTCCACCAGTTTTCACTTTCTCCATCAAATTTATGAATGAAATATAGAAGGTATCGTTCCTTTAAGGGTTGTGGGGAAGTTATCGATTGAATAAGCATAGCATCAAAGGTCAGTCGAGTTGTTTTCTCTCTAAATTTATAGTGAGGTTATTGGTGAGAATTTATTCAATTAGGAACATATTTTGATAGACCATTTTTGTTTTCTTTTTGGGATATTGAATCAGATGAGAGTGGATGTGTATTTGTGTACTGAATTTAAAGACACCTTTAGGTTGAGAAGTTGATATGAACATGGAAATTGCAATATCATGGCTCATTTTCTTTTGTTTCAAGTCTTATGTGGTGCAAGACTGATAAACAGCATTGCTAATTAGCATAACACAGATGATGAAAACGAAAGAAAATGTATTGTGATGCGGTTTACCTTATCTGGGACTTAATCCAACAATCTTGCTCTATTACTGCTTTGCTTTGTGTCTAGTTACTAAATCAATAAGGATGTGATATGTCCATCTTTTCTTGTCCCTGGCTTCTGGTTCAAGGGAGGTGTATATCGCTTCACAATCCCTAAGAAAATGTCCCTTTCCGAATGCGGCGAGTACCAGCGAGTCAGTCTTTAGTTCTACGGCTCTATGAAGAAGCCCCATCTTTCTCCAAGTCTCTAAAGTTTCAGACCCATCAAACCCCCTCTCGATAGCGTCGATTAAGATCCCGATAGTGGTTATATCAGGTCTTACACGGTGGCTCTGTAATTGAGAGAGTAAACTTCTCAAATGCTTGAAATCTTTCATCTTTAAATAAGCTAGCAAGATTATATTTGCTATCGTTACGTTCCATGAAGCTTTTGCTTCATCCATTTCTCGGATGACAGAATCCATCCCTTTTCGACTCAAAAGACAAGCATGAGAAAGGAGGCGCAAACACCATACAAGATCGTCTCTACCGGATCTTGAAGAAAGATCGATACCCAGATCGTCTAATCTAGAGTACATTAAGTTCTTGATATAAACTTCGGCTAATTTCCTAACCGTATCCTCCTTTAAAGAAATCGAGTTTGCAACCTTTCGATAAACCTTCTCCATCTTATCCAGAATCCCAAAGTTTGCATATGCCTCAACCATTGCAACCAAAGAATTAGGCTGCAAATTCATCTGTTTCGAGATCACTATACGATGAACTCGTTCCATCTTTTGAAGCAACCCGCCATGTGAAAACTCACGTATAAGCAAGTTATAGGTAAAATGGTCAGGCGGGCATCCATCTGATTCCATCATCTTCAAGCATGTACTGATTTCATCATACATTTTATATTGCCCATATGCTTTGATTAGCCCGTCGTATGTGTCGGTTTCGGGTTCCAAACCGATTTCTTTCATCTCTTTGAGAAAGAACATAGCATCATCGAAGTTCCCATTTCCGGCATAAGCATGTATTATCGAGTTGTAAATCTCTAAAGAAGGACGCAGTCCGTAATCCACCATTTCTAGTAGTGCCGCAACAGCTGCTCCGGCCATTCTCTCTTCGCATAGAAATCCTATAATCTTTTCATAGTTCAGTTCATTGATTCTTGATTTCTCTATGTTCTTCCACATATGAAAAACCTGCCCAGAAATACATAATTTTAAGAATTTCAAAGAATAATCAAATACGAAAACTAGAGAACATCCAATGTTCTGCAGTGTTCACTGTATTTTCCCACCCGTTTTCTAACTGAAACTGGCATTTTCCATCCAATAATCATTACATTTTTAAAACGCAACTCCAAAATTTAGTTAAATTCTATTAAGGATGTATAGTGTACACTGTATTTTCCCAACTATTTTCTAACCCGAACCATTATATTTTCCATCCCTTTCTCAGAGGCCAAACACAGTGCCATTTTCATTCAGTTCAAATAAAGAATCATAATAAATCATCAAATCCTCGAGACCCAAGTTTCAAATCAAGTAAAAATCTGAACTTAAAGGACTATAATCACTGAATCCTCCCATTCATTCTCCAACCCAGACTTCTCCCTTTTCCATCCCTTACTCAGAAACCAAACAAGGTCCCATCTTCACCAAGCATAAAACTAAATCATTAAATCCTAAAAACCCACGTTCCAAATTTAGTAAAAAAACTGTCTTAAGGATTGCAGAATTCGAAACACCCAGAAAGAGCAAAAAGAAACGAACCTGGAGGATTTCATTGGATCTGGAGGCATGCCTGAGAAATCTAATGGCAGCCCAGAAATCATTTTTGGTCCAATCTCCGTCATGTCGAAGAATTTGCAAAGGGCAAGAGCCCTCCTTCTCCAGCTTTTCAAGTAAAGCCCTGAGCCTCCGGTGGTGATGATAAGTCTCAACAAGAAGCGTGGTATGGGTTCTGGAAGAACCACCATCCGGCGGAGGCGGCGAGGATGGGCGGGGAGAGGACAGGCAACAAGAACAGCAATGTCTGGTTCGTTTTGGGAACTGAGACTTGATGAAAATCGATTTTTTGTTGGAATCAATAAGGGAGAACTGCCATCTCAACGTGATTTTGCAGTCTAAATTCAGGGCTATTGCATTCTCCATCTAATAACATATAAATTTCCCCTGGATCTCCTATCTTCTTTCGAATTTGTAGAGTTCGGATAAATAGTAATAATAATAATTAGGTTTAATTAAAAAAAAGGTAAACTACATATTTAATCATCACATATTCTCGCAATTTCATTTCAGTCACTTAATTATTTTTTAAAAACTACATATATTTTGGTAATCATCGTTAAAAAAGAAATTGAATTGCTCCAAAACCAATAAGTCATTATAAGCTCATAAGCAAATTTACGCATTTGCACAAAGATCAGGTAAAGGGAAAATCTAAGAAACAATTGATTGATCATAAAAGATGACCATAACTCGTATTCAAAACACAATTGAGATTTAAAGAATTTAACATAAAGGAAGTTCATATCGATAATATAATCATATACACAATGAGAACGCCAATGTTGTTGAATAACCAAAAAAACATAGATTTGCATAAAGATTGTTCCATATTTTCCAAGTGCATCCCCGTAAGGCTTTCATATAAGGAGTTGTTCTTCTAGCCCTACTAAACCTTTTGCATTATCCTCTTTTGCATGGTGACTGAACCTTTTGTTTGAATGGTGGAGTTTACCTTTTGCATTATCCAACCCAAGGGACAGAGTTTGGATTGAATTACGAGGAAGGTAAGTTATTTAACTTCAAATAAATAGGGTCTTGTTAAACACCCTTCTTATCTCAATCGAGTCAAAACTCAATCAAGACAATTATTTCACTATATCCAATTTTGATTTGTCGTTATCGATAGTCATTTAGTAGTTTAATCTTTTTTTGTGGTTCGTTTTTTGATGTAATCAGATGTGTTCATATCTGTCTTTTGTTTTAGTTTCTTGGATGAATTTAACATACTCCTTATATGATCATTGAATGATCTCGAGTAATTAGTTTATTTTAATGAAAAAAATAAGGTATGTGTTTAATTAATTTTCAAACTGTACCGTAATTTTAAATATTTTAACTTTTTAATAAAAAAATATGGACTCTATTTACATAAGAAAAAAGAAATTGAACAAATATATAATCCTATGTTCGAACAGATGCAATTAATTTTTAGAAATCACATAACTAAGTAAAACAAGAAGATGCCAAATTTACAAGTTTAGTTACATCGGTTATGAGATTGTTGCGTTCTATTACAACTCTAAAGACGTGCCTTGTTTTTCTTCATTTAATTGACATTGTCAATTACCAATTTTCAAAACATGTTTCTTCTAATTTAATTATCATTTAGTTAATTAAAATATATAATTATTATGGGTATGACGGATAAAAATTATTAATCACTGAATTTTTGCCATAATTAACGATTTATTAATAACGATAGAGATGGGAATGGTAAAAATAATTGAGTAACTAAAATAAAAGCATAGAAAAAAATGAATACCAAATGGATATTTTACCCAAAATATTAATAACTCACACTTGTTAAATATCATACAAAATATAATATAATTATTTTAAAAAAAATTAATAAAAATATATTAAATATGAAATTATTTTGTTTATTGTTTAAATTAATAAATATGTAATGAATTAAAAACAAAATTAATATTTTGAATTGGTCCCTAATTTTTAAATATTCTAATTTCATCTCTAAATTATGATTATCATTCTAAATGAGTCCTCAAACTTTTGAACATTTCAATTTCATCCTCAAACTATGACCTTCATTCTAAATTAGTCCCCAAACTTTTTGAACATTCCAATTCCATCCCAAACTATACATATATACTAATCACATCCTTTGTCAATAAAATCATTAGGCCAAGTTATATTATTACATGTTTGAAAAAACACAAAATTTAGGTCAAACTACTGTTGAAACTAATTACATATATGGATTATTTTGGGAATAAAACTGGGATATTCAAAAGTTTGGGGACCAATTTAGAAAGAGTTTCATAGTTTTGGGATGAAATTAAAATATTCAAAAGTTTAAGAACTAATTTAGAATGAAAGTTATAATTATGGGATGAAATTTGAATATTTAAAAGTTAAAGGGCCAATTTAAAATGAGAATTATAATTTGGGGATATGATGCAATTAACTATTTTTTTCATTAATCTTTTAGTTTCATCTCTCTACTATTCTCTTCAACGTAAAAGAACACAGTTCTGTTTGTTTCGCCATTGCTTTTCCAGTTCTATTTCGTCGCTGAAATTAAGAGAAGAACAACGGATAACGTTGTCCAAACGACATCGAATCCAACAAACGCACGTTGTTTGGTAATCAAAACCACTTGTTTTGCAAGAAAAAAAATGAAAAAATCCAACCGCCACCACCACCACATCCTCCTCCATCTCCTCATCATATCCTCCGTCCTCACCTCCGCCGTTGACGACAGTGCGGCGATCCAGAAGATAGCTTCGGGCTTCCGGAACGCTCCCAAAGGGTGGTCGTCCACCTCGACAGACAACTATTGTTACTGGATGGGCATAAGTTGCGATAAATCCAACCGTGTCACTTCCATCAGCTTGGCTTCCAAATCGGTGGCCGGCACCCTCGCTCCGGAGATCACCAACTTGTCGGAACTCCGGAGTGTAGCGCTTCAACGGAACTCATTGTCCGGCAACATCCCATCTTTCGGCGACTTATCGAACTTACAAAACATTTTCCTTGGTTCCAATGGCTTCACTTCAATCACCCCCGACGCATTCGCCGGATTATCAAGCATTCAAACGTTGAGTATGGACGACAACCCGAATCTCCGTCCATGGAGTTTCCCGAACGTATCGGAATTAACAACCATTGTCGAGCTCGGAGTCGGCAACACCAACATCCACGGCACCTTGCCCGATATCTTCGGATCTTTAAGGAGTTTACAAATCTTAAAAGCATCCTACAACAATTTGAACGGCACGTTACCATCCTCTCTCGGTGGTTCAATGATCCAAAACTTATGGATCAACAATCAAAACACCGGCTACGGTTTCACCGGCACATTAGATGTTTTGTCCAACATGACAGAGTTGACTCAGGTTTGGGTTCATGTCAACTCGTTCACCGGTCCGATCCCGGATTTGTCTAAATGTAAAAGCCTATTCGATTTACAGATTAGAGATAACCATTTGACAGGTCCATTTCCGAAATCGTTGCTTAAACTTTCGAGTTTGAAGAATGTTTCATTGGATAATAATAAATTGCAAGGTCCGTTCCCCAAGTTTGATATCACAGTTGTAAAAGCTCAAGTCAATGGAAGCAACAATTTCTGTAACACCAATGGAGCTCCTTGTGATCCTCAAGTTTCGACTTTGATCGAAATAGCCAGCGGTTTCGAGTACCCAGTTTTGCTTTCGGATAGTTGGGAGGGGAATGATGCTTGTCAAATGTCCTTCGTCACTTGTGATTCACAAAAGACTGTGATCACAGTGAATCTTGCTAAAAAAGGTTTGTCCGGGAAGATTTCGCCGGCGTTCGGGAACCTCAAGGCGTTGAAGAACATGAATTTGAATGATAATAACTTAACCGGTCCGATCCCTGATAGTCTCACTAAGCTAGCCGATTTGCAGCTTCTTGATGTGTCGAATAATGACCTTATCGGAGAAATCCCGATTTTTTCGGCTTCGGTGAAATTCATTTACTCTGGGAATCATTTACTCGGAAAACCTGTCGATAATTTGGGTTCCAGTAGTCCGAGTAGTTCCGGTGGAGGAGGAACTTCTTCAAGTGGTGCAGGCTCAGCTGGTAATAGCACTACATCGACTGAGGTTGTCAAAGGTAAAACTCTCAAGGCTTTGATTATAGGCCTAGCAGTTGGTGGAGTGGTTTTCCTTGCTATATTCTGCTTTGGTTCATACAAATTCATCATGAAAAAGAAAGATGTGAAGCTTGGGAGGACGAAGAAGAACATCGATGATCCTGAGAAAGGAGCGGTTAAGGTCGCAACTGGTGTCAGAAAGACCGACAGCGAGAACCAAAACCAAGCCACTACTGACCAAAATCTATTCGATGGCGGAAACGTCGTGATCTCGATCGAAGTTCTCCGAGAAGTGACTAACAATTTCAGTGAAGACAACATATTAGGCAAAGGAGGCTTTGGGGTAGTTTACAAAGGTGAATTGCATGATGGTACACAGATTGCAGTCAAGAGAATGGCGTGTGTTAACAAAGGAACAAAGGGATTGGATGAGTTCCAAGCTGAAATTGGAGTGCTTTCAAAGGTTAGGCATAGGCATTTGGTTGCTCTGTTAGGTTATTGTATCAATGGCAATGAGAGGCTCTTGGTATACGAGCACATGCCTCGCGGTACACTCAGCGAGCACCTCTTCCAATGGCAAAAACAACAGGGCGGTTCGCCGCTCACATGGAAGCAAAGGCTTGTCATTTCTCTCGATGTAGCGAGAGGGGTCGAGTATCTGCACTCGTTGGCTAGACAGAGTTTCATTCACAGAGATTTGAAGCCTTCAAACATACTCCTAGGAGATGACATGAGGGCTAAAGTTGCTGATTTTGGTCTGGTTAGAATTACACCAGACGGAAAACAATCTTTGGAGACGAGATTGGCCGGAACATTCGGATATCTTGCTCCCGAATATGCTAGTATGTCCATCCTTACTCGTGTATGTGTCAAATACGAATATGTTATATACTTTTTGTTTTTCGCTTTTATATTTTCTTAAATCTTGACAGCAACCGGAAGGGTGACAACAAAGGTGGATGTGTATGCATTCGGAGTGGTGTTAATGGAGCTAATCACAGGCCGAAAATCTTTAGATGATACCTTACCTGAAGAAGAATCACATTTAGTGTCATGGTTCCGCAGGGTGCTAATCAACAAGAATGAAGTCCTGAAAAATGTGGACGAAACAATCAAATGCGACGAAGAAAACAACGGTGACAGAGAGACGAAGGCGAGCATGTTGAAGGTAGCGATGTTAGCCGGTCACTGCACGACTCGCGATCCGTCACAGAGACCCGACATGGGCCACGCGGTCAATGTGCTGAGCCCTCTGGTTCAGCAATGGAAACCAACGCACCAAGAGGAGAATGAAACGGAAGGCATTGACTTCGACTTGAGCCTTTCTCAATCTCTAGAGAGATGGCAAATGATGGAAGGGGATTCGTCGTCGTTTGGTGATACGTCACTTTACGGCACGCAGACGAGCATATCGGCGAGGGCATCGGAACAGCAATACATAATGAGCTCGAACGATACCCGATGACGAAAAATCCTAGGCATGATTTTAAAGAGGTATGGGCCATTGAAAATGAAAACACCGTGGGGTATGTGATAAAAACGCCCCATGTTTGTTGATTTTGCTGCCTTCGTGCTAAACCTAAGCCAATGGAGCTACTGCTTTCTTCCTTGCTAGTTTCTTCAAAATTAGTTAACTCGTTGTCTTTAACAAAATTAGAGAAAAAAATTGAGGTCAAAAAAAATAAGATATTTAAAGATGGTAGTTAATTAATTAGAGAAAACATTATGTTTTATCCGGCAGAGGTTCACAAATCTGATTATAGGATATTATTTTGTTGAGTCATCCAACTATTAAAAGTTACAAAATGATCGTCCTGACTATTCATTATGTTTCAAATTCACCCTTTTTCAACGACAGTCTGAGCTAAACATTAACTTGTTGACTGAGATATGATAAAATATATTCTCATAATCTCAAACGGCTATCATATCTCAATCAACATGTTAACGTCTAACTTAGACGATCGTTAATTTTTTAACAGACAATGACGAGTTTGGAATATAGTGAATAGTCAAGTGACCATTTTATAACTTTTAATAGTCAAGGGACTCAACAAAGCAACTCCATTGGAAGATCATTTTGTAATTTTTAATAATTATAAGACTCAACAAAGTAATATTCTATAGTCAGAGACCATTTATATATTTTACCCTATAGTAAAATGAGACGATGAGTTTAAAGAAGACACCTCAATCGATTTCTAAATATTTAATTCACTTAAAATTGATTTCTGAAAATATTTATTTTAGTCCTACCACTTTTATTTCTTTATAATTTGATCCTAATATATATATATATGTATATATATATATATATAATTGGCGCAAAATCCTCATGATACTCATTTTTATATTTTATTTTAAAATTCACCTTATTTCCCTAAATAATTTTTCATGATTCTTATTTCTCTACTTTTATTTTTAACATCAATATTCTTTTTATTTGAACCTTGTTTTATTGTGAAAAAATATGTTATTCAATTCAATTTATTTTTGAAAAAAATCACTAATTTTATTCAAAATAAGAAATATCCTAAATTATAATAAAGATTTACAATCATAGTCACAAATTAAGCACATAATTAGTGAATAACTCAAAAAAAATTATAAATGGCACTCAAAGACATTCTCAAGAAGAAATTTTTAGCTTCCAACCTTTGTGAACTGCCTTGCTTTGAATGTCAAATAATAAATCCATATATGAAGAATTTACTTTTATAACTTTATATGTAATTGTTCAAAAAAAAATATAATTATCTCATTATGAATTTAAAATTTCGACTAATTTGATATTTTAATATCTTGATTAAGAATATTAATTTTATGTATTTGATCGTTTAAATCTGGTTTATATGAAATAAATAATTAGATATTTTTAAATTTCTCGGATTTAACACGATCGAACATGAAAGTTAAGGATGGAATTAAATCTTTGAGCAATCTTTGCTACATTATACTTAATTCATCCTTGATCTTGGGGCTTGGGGAATTGCTTCTCTCTCTTTAAAAGCTTAACACTCCTGGGGGACAAATTCATTACATTATACAATTGAAAAAAAAAACATTATTGGTCACTAATGGCTTTTCTTGCTCTCCTCTTCATCTCTTCTCTTCTTGTTGTTTCTTGTAAGTTCCATGTATGTATGTACGAATATTTATGTGTATGTACGAATATTTATGTGTATATACGTGTATATATGTATGTGATTTTAAATTATTCAGAGTATGTATGTATCAACAGTGTTGGTTCAATTGCTTTCTTTTGTGCTTCAACAGTAGCAGAAATATCCGGCAAGATTGGGATAAACTACGGTCGAGAAGGGGAGGATTTGCCGTCGCCGTATGTATCGATTCAGATCATGAAGTCCATGAAAGTTGGCCAGATAGAGCTCGCCGATTCAAACCCTGAAATATTGACACTCTTGTCAGGAACCAGGATCCATGTCGCTGTTACAGTCCCTAATGACGATATAATCCGAATTGGTTCGAACGAAACATATGCTGAGCAATGGTTCCGGAACAGTTTCATGCCACACTATCCCAATACCTTGATTCAGTTCGTGTTGGTCGGCAATGGAGTCCTCAACTCTGGCTTAGACGGAGATCGAATGATGTTTTACGATTCCCTTTTGCCTGCGATGCGTGTGATTAAGAATTCCTTGAATGCTCACGGTATTAAAAATGTCAAGGTCACTACAACGCTACCGACGGATGCGTTGCAGATGAGTTTCCCGCCGTCGAGCAGTACGTTTCGGTCCGATATTGTTGGTAAAATAGACTGCTGCAAAACGAGGAGTTAACACTGACTGAAAAATATTAAATAAAATAATCAATCAGAATGATTACCGTGTCGTGGTAATCCACTGTCTTAGAAGAAAATTCGCCCTGATGTGTGTAATCGTTACAATGAACGAACATTCCCCTGAGGTTGACACGGCTCTCCATGAATTCGTACACCCGAAAACTGGAGTGAAATTGGTGGTATTGTTCTTCTCTCAACTCAAACAACACTCAAAAGAGATGAGTATTTCAAAGCAAATGTTTTGCTTAGGATGTTTTTAAATGAATGAAATTGCTCACTATTTATAGGCTAAATAGTGAGGGCAAAATGGTCATTTCCAATACTAGTGGAATAACCTAACTAGCATATTTCCAATATTCAGTTGAGCATTATCAACACTAGTGGAATAACCTAATTTGAGCATAGATTAGTGGAATAACCTAATTTGAGCATAGATTAGTGGAATAACCTAACTAGCATATTTCCAATATTTAAGCATTATCAACATTCCTCCACTAATGCGAAAGAATTCTTTCGTAAAGATGAGAGCAATGAAGTTAAAACATGAGAAGAGAAATAGTGAGATTAGTTGCTTAAGCACTAGTGAACGTATCTGGAACTAGTACATAGTGATGATGAGCAATCCTTATCATAGATAAGTGAAACTAGTCTTGAACTTTCTAAGATTGGGGTAAACTCATAACACACAACTAACCCCTTCATCCACCAAAGTCCTCGATGTGTCTACAAAGAGTATATACAAAAGCGTATATATGTTTAGCCCTCTTTCCTCAGGATTCTAATAAGTGTATTAGAAAAACGGTCTAACGTTTTTCATAGAAGGTGGCTAATCATTCTCACTTACGTAGGTTATTTCATCAAGTTTATCTCAACATAAACCACTCAAACTGAGCTATGAAATAATTAAGAGCTTTTATAATAGCTCAACATCACAAAGGGTATGGTGACTTTCTTCAAGTTCATTATTAATGAACCACCCAAACTCTGGGATAAGAAGTCATTAAGAATAAATATTCAACCTCATAATTTGGTAAATTCAATATGTCCTTCTCACTAGGAACTCCCATTCAATATGTCCTTCTCACTAGGAACTCCCAAACTCTTGGGTTTGAATTCATTAAGAGTTTAATAAAACTCATCCTCTCAAGCGGTAAGTTCATCTAGTCTTTCGCGATTAGAACTACCCACTCAACTCTAGGTTATGAACTTATTAAGAATAGATATTCAGCCAAAAATCGGTAAATTCATCAAGTTTTTCTCACTAAGACCACCCAAAGCCTGAGCTATGAATTTATTAAGAGCAATTAAGCTCATCCTGGGCATGCACATTATTCGTCATAGGGATAGGTAGTAGGAATGTGCACTATGAGTCTTTCCATGGTTTCTTTTGACCACATGGAACTTAGATAACTAAGTTGGGTATCCACTATGAATTCCTCAACCAATGGGCTTTAGACCCATCCCCCTTGACGAATCTAGGACCAAGGATCTGTTAGGTTCCTTTCCGACTTCACATACTCTAAAGAGAGCACTCCGTTCTTTATTAAGTGTCTTTCTTACCATTGTACACATATTGCAGCTTGTGAATCACACAACAAAGAAATCAGAGGAATTGGTTTTCCCCACAACGAAATATTTTCTAACAAGCTTCTGAGCCACTCAGCTTCTTGCCCAGCTAGGTCAAGAGCTATAAACTCTGACTCCATGATAGGCTTTGATGATTTCCATGAGATTGCTGCTCCACCTAAAGTAAAATATACCCACTCGTAAAGCTTACCTCATCATTATCAGAAACCCAGTTGGTATCACAATATCCTTCCAGTACCGCAAGAAAGCCAACAAACTCAAGTTTCCAATCCAAAGTATCCTTAAGATACTTCAGTAAGCGTTTAAGAGTAATCCAATGCTCATCTCTTGGATTATGAATATATCTACTTAGTCTACTCACAACATAAACAATATCGGGCTGATTATAATTCATTAAGAACATTAAGCTTCCGATTAATTTAGCATATTCTGTTTAGGAAACACTACTTCCTTTATTCTTAAAGAGATATATGCTAGGGTCACAAGGGTTCGAACAAGGACGACATCAAAACAGTCAAATTTCTTTAACACTTTCTCAATATAGTGTGCTTGACTTAAAGAAAAAACCCTTTTCAGTTTTGGTAATTTTGACTCCTAAGATTACATTGACTTCTCCCAGATCCATCATCTCAAATTTAGTGGACAAGAAACTATTTGTTTTGTTAATGGACTTAATGTTAGAACTGAAGCAATCAGTACCAAACATCCTTGAATACACACCAGCATCCAAACCATTCACAACAAAGCCAAAACTAAGTATAGTTTTATGAAATTACTTGTACCATTATTCCTATATAGATCTCCTCACATAGATCTCCATTCAAAAATGCAGTCTTAACATTTATTTGATGTACTTGTAACTTATGAATGGAGGCTAGTGCAAATAATGCACGGATCGTTGGGAATACCTAATTTTGAGTATATACTAGTGGAATAACCTAACTAGCATATTTTCAATATTCAATTGAGCATTATCAACACTAGTGGAATAATCTAATTTGAGCATATACTAGTGGAATAACCTAACTAGCATATTTCCAATATTTGATCATTATCAACATTCCCCTACTAATGCG